CAAAAATTCGCGCACAAGCAACGATGTATGAGCAGGGGCGTTATCATGGTGCAAAAGCCAATTTCGCGGCGACCCGTCTCATGCCCAAATCATTGGTAAAAATCGAATGGCATGAGCCAATCGATATGTTTAGGTCCTCAGCAACTTCTCTAACGGTGATTCGACGATTGGCCAATAGTATTTTCTTCACTTCATCAATGTTTTCGTCTGTTGTTGACGTGCTCGGGCGTCCGGCACGTTCTTCGTCGTTCACATCTTCTCGGCCCTCTGAGAACATTTTGTACCACCGATAAACGTTGCTTCGGTCCAAGGTAGCTTCACCATATGCCACGGTCAACATTCGGAATGCGTCCGCGCACTTAATTTTGTTTTTCACACAAAATTTGATACAGATTCTTTGATTCATTTTTTGGAATATATATATAATGAAATATTTGGAATATATATATAATTTGGAATATATATATATATATGTATAAAAGTATGCTTATGTATAATAATATAATTAACATTAAAAGCAGTATTAGTACCGTATCAAATTGTTTAATGTTGAATCCAGCAAAAACATAAAATTAGAGCATATTGGTTTGATAAATGCTTTTTCCACGCACATTAATTGTTAAATTGCTTTTATGAAATCGTGGTTAGGATTGAATTTGTGCAAGCCGATTAAATAATTAAGCTGATTAATTCCAGAAATATTGCAATCATGCATTCATATTGTTAGATACAGATAATATTTGAGTTTGATTAAAATCAATTTTTTTATTCAAAAATTACATACATCAAAACCGACGGAAAACTGCGACAGCACTTGCAAGGGACTCTTCATTCTGCCGCAATAAATGATCGGGGACAAAGCATGCATCTCCTTGATATAATTCTAATACTTAGGTCGTTCTGTCGCCATGAAAAAGAAGGTGATGGTACCTTGGCTGTGTCCTACATAGAATATTTTTTTGTGGCCAGCGGTCTTTACAATATAATCTATTATTGCTGGAAGATCATATACACCAATTTCGTGTCAGCTGCAATATGCAATAGGAACATGCACTTACATAAATTACTGCGTTTAGCTGAAAAAAGCAAAGTACTAAAAGTCGAAAATATTATTCTTGTGTCAAATTTTAATTATTATTATATAAATTTTTATTGATATATTTTTATATATGCAGCTTATATATAATGCGCTTTTTATGTAATGTATAGTTTTATTCGTAAAGATGGAGATATTAATTTTTGTGTAATATGTTTAATGTGTCTTTCGAAGATAATTTATTAAATTTTTTTTACGAAAGGTAATAGATCATTAAAACAATGCCTTTTTCAAGATAAATACGAATTTTAATAATAAGACAAAGATTCTTCTCTCGAATTATTATCTTATTTATTTGTTCGTGAAATCCAGAATAATGACTGAACTTTGTTGAAAACTTTTGTGACAATTTTTTTATTGCAACAAAAATGTCTTAATATTTTTTTAAATCAAGTTTTAAATTAATTTTTTTACGAAATCTTGAATTTGAGGTGAAAAATATGATTTTATTACATAGTCTCTCTCTCTTCTTCTCTCTTCTCTCTTTAATTTTTATAATCATTAAAATTATAATCGAAAATTGTAAACTTCATCATTACCAAAGAAGAAATTAATTCCCCAATTCCGTTACAAAGTGAAAAGGATAATTATGACATACAAAAAGATTTTTAAATTATTCTGATTTGTTGCCTATTTTATATATA